AAATATTGGGTGCTAATTCAAGTACATATACAGCATGTTTTTTTTTGTTATTTTTATCATAGTTGCATTCTCTAGCTGCAAATAAGAAGTATAGAACTAGAGGAGGAGCAAAGAAGAGAAAGTTAAGCAGAGGTAGTGACAGATATTTCATGATTCATTGGCTGTTATATTAACATTAGAGTTGAGTAAAGAAAAAGTCGATTCTGCCCATAGTAAATTTATTAAAGGTAATTTCAGGAAGAACATAATTTTGTTATTATTTTTATTCAATAGCTAACACTGCACTAGTAGAGCCACAAGTATTGGGTGCTAATTCAAGTACATATGTGACCATAATTGACAAAAGGTACCTTATGGTGGATTTTAAAATTTATCATTGAAAAATATCAACTTGTGAGTGCTCTGTTTGACATCTATTGTGTTTAACAGTTACATAGTAACTTTTTGCATCCTGTGGAGTAACTTTATGATAAATAGAGCTCAGGAAGTTAGATATTTTTGGCTATAAAGACGAATTTTACTACCCGCCATAAGGTACCTCTTGTCAATTATGGTCACATATACATCATATTTATTTTTGTTATTTTTATCATTATTGTTACATTCTCTAGCTGGGAATAAGTAGTATGGAACTAGAAGAGGAGGAAAGAAGGGAGAGGTAACGGCAAATATTTCATGATTTATTGGTTATTATATTAACATGATTAGAGTTAAGTAAAGAAACAGCAGATTGTGTCAGTGAATCAAATGATGGTAAATTTAAGAAAAACATAACTTTTAGCATCATATTTTATTTTCTGCATATTTTATAGTGAAAAAAATTGTAGCTTCAAAGAAGATAAAAGGTATAGATTTAAACTATTAGTAACTTATGAAGTTATCTTTTTAGATACTGACTGTCTAATAAAGATATGTGCAAACCCTCGTGCTTATAAATGGGTGGAGTGTAAGATGTGCCAGGCGTGGTTTCTTCAATGTTGTGTAGGATACCTGAAAGGCACTGAATTTTCATGTGAACATTGTCACCTCGAAAATGCAATGCTAATTTTAATCTGAAACGTGATAATACCCACTAACCATAAAAATTATAATAGTGAATAATAACCACGCCATGTACTGTTCTACTCAAGTTGATGCAACTGCATGCAATAATTGTTTGCAAAAGTAGAACTACTTTAAACCTCAACTTACTTAAATAGTAAGCTCAATAGTGGCTGCGTAGACGCTATTGTAGTTCAGTAGAGACTCCAGAGGTGCAGCACTGATATTTTTTTGAAAAGTGAATAATACTTTATTCAAAAACGAAAAATAGGGCCAGATTTATATAAGGATAGATGAGTAAGTTAGGACAGGTTAGGTAAGGAAAAATAGAAAAGTTAGACATAATATAAAATAAGCATTGATAGAGAAGAGGCGGAGAACCACCAGGATACGCTCCCTTCAGCAATGGTGGCTGAGATAGATGAAAAGTCTATTCTACGTATTCTCTGCCGAGAACCCGAGTAACATGATGGTAGAACGTAACCGTGAAAATGAGACATGACAGAGAACCCATCAAATCACTACATTGTAAGGGAGTTTTTTCTTCTCCGAAATAAGTGCGGCAATCATCTTATAAACTACAACTGCTGTAGGGCCAAGACAACCAAGAGTATTAAACACCAGTGGTGAGAAACACCCATGTTCAAAATCCCTAACACTTTGATCATAAGCTCTCTCTCATGGGAATGGTAGCATTGTCGCAGAGATACATTTAAATTGGTGGGAGCTAAGGGATTAAAAACTTTGACATCAAAAAATGACCTTTGTCCATTCCTTTTCCAGAAATTAGTGGCAGCAATGTCAAGGCAAGCGCCTTCATCCCTGTTGATGGATTGTTGATGAAATGACTCACCAGACACTGGCTGGAGCAGGGGCTCCGTTGCAACATCATGACAGACTTCACATAAAAACTGAGAAGTCAGATCCATGAGATTATTATGGCGAAATATTGTATAGCCACCATTAGGACAGGTTAAAGAGTGTTCCACTTTGAAGCTCTTATGACAGACACTTAGTAGGTAGATGAGGTGTTTGCCATCCATACCTAAGGCAGAGTGCATCCCCGAAGGAGCCCTTGGGTAGGTATATCCATGCTCGGACAGTCAATCAGCTGGAGGCTCATTTCTCTGAAGAGATCTCAAAGAGACATTTATTTTGAGCAGAGAAAGAGGCACTCACTGTAGAGGCTGCTTCACGATTCAGGCTCCTCTTTTCATTGATTACATGACTTTTAGCTTTGCACTGAATGTCTGAAAGACCTGTAGGGACAGTCGATGAGCGAGATAGGATTAGATTAATCAGAGGAGCAGTGATTTTGAGTGATGAGCGATATTGAAAATCAGAGAGAAATGAGAGATTGAGGATGCCCAGACCGAAATGTCTAACAGGGAGCTCACGTTCAGAGTCACAAAGTGTTGAACGACCTGACACAGTTGGAATTAATGAGGTTCTTATAGTATCTTCTATTGGCCTCAGTAAAGGAGCAATGTCGGGACGCGTTCTACATAGATATGTCCATTTGTTGACAAACCCATGAGTGTATGCAGCAAAGGCAGCAAGAGGGTGTGGCATTGCTATATCAGTCAGTAGACGTAACTCAATTCCAATCAGAAACCTCAGACTCAACATACTTATTAATGTAATCGGATGTACCAATCGGAGAACCCAAGACAGTACGGCCCTCAGTAGTGATTGAAATATTTGTATCTTCAAAAATAGCCTTAGCACCATCAGCTGAGCTAGAGCCAAGACTTAACAGAATTGAGAAAGTAGCAAAACAAAGGACCTGACTCCACAAGACCATCCCGTAATGTCTGTAGACGTCCTGCAGCAGTAGCATCATCGGCATACTAGGACTGAATAACTGAAAGGGAAGAGAGCCGACGAATAAGAGGAACAGTTGCAAGAGCATATATTGACATGGCTGAAGGGTCTCCTTGTGTGGTACCTTCATATGAAAAAATAGTCTGATCTCCTATAAATAAATTGGTATCTGTATGATATATATTAATAATAATTCTGGCAAAAGCAGGACAGATGGTCAAAATATTTCTCATAGCAACTCCCCTGTTGAGTGAGTTGAAAGCATTGCTGGCATGAACTAACAAAAGAGCAACAACATCACTTGACTCCAAGGCAGACCTCATTGAATGTACAGAGGCTTGACACCCACCCACCTGACCTGCACAAGTTTGAAGTCAACCGACAAAATTTATGTCCTCTCTGAAATACAATGGGACAGCTTTACAAATGAGTCTTCTAGGCGTCTTGCCTATCCCTATAGGACGAATTCCAGGACACTTGTCCAGAACTATTAGACGGTCTGAGAGGAAAGAGGCTAGACATGTAAGATCAACGTACAACACACAAAGCCTCATTACGACTGCAGCTAGACAATTACAAAGATCCTCTGACTGCAGTCCAAATGAAACACACAACGACAAATCTGAACAGAGTCTACTCCCGATGGCCCTGTCGCCCCTGACAATCTGAGGGCAGCTTTCATTACGATTTGACCATCTATACATCATAAAGAATTGAATG